GGCCTCAAAAAAAGGCAGTGTATAACCCTTCCTTTTTTACCAAAAATCGACTGCACCAAAATTTCTCGGGAAAACACTTTTTCTTATTAATTTTGGTGCGTAGAATCCAAAACAATTGGTACTTTATCGATCAGACTTCTCAATAAAAAGTTATAGACTAGAAACCAATTTCGAAAGAAAATTCAAAGGGCTGTAACTTTTGAACTAGTAGCCCAATCTTCAAACTGTTTTAAATTATGGATTCTACAGGCCACATTCTATAAGAAAAAGTTTTTTTCCGGTCGTTCTGAGACAATTTTTTTTGGGGCCTCAAAAAAAAAGGCAGTGTTACAACCTTCCTTTTTTGCCAAAAATCGACTGCACCAAAATTTCTCGGGAAAACACTTTTTCTTATTAATTTTGTGCGTAGAATCCAAAACAATTCGTACTTTTTCGATCAGACTTCTCAATCAAAAGTTATGGACTAGAAACCAATTTCGAAAGAAAATTCAAAGGGCTGTAACTTTTGATGTAGTAGCCCAATCTTGGAACTGTTTGAAATTATGGATTCTACAGGCCACATTCCATAAGAAACATTTTTCCGGGTCGTTCTGAGACAATTTTTTCTTCGTGCCTCAAAAAAAGGCAGTGTATAACCTTCTTTTTTTTACCAAAAATCGACTACAGCAAAATTTCTCGGGAAAACACTTTTTCTTATTAATTTTGGTGCGTAGAATCCAAAACAATTCGTACTTTTTCGATCAGACTTCTCAATCGAAAGTTATAGACTAGAAACCAATTTCGAAAGAAAATTCAAAGGGCTGTAACTTTTGAACTAGTAGCCCAATCTTGGAACTGTTTGAAATTATGGATTCTACAGTCCACATTCTATAAGAAAATTTTTTTCCGGGTTGATCTGAGAGAATGTTTTTTTCGGGCCCCAAAAAAAGGCAGTGTATAACCTTCCTTTTTACCAAAAATTCGACTACACCAAAATTTCTCATGAAAACACTTTTTCTTATTAATTTGGGTGCGTAGAATCCAAATCAATTCGTACTTTTTCGATCAGACTTCTCAATCAAAAGTTATAGACTAGAAACCAAATTCGAAAAAAAATTCAAAGGGCTGTAACTTTTGAGCTAGTAGCCCAATCTTGGAACTGTTTGAAATTATGGATTCTACAGGCCACATTCTATAAGAAAATTTTTTTTCCGGGTCGATCTGAGACAATTTTTTTTTCGGGTCTCAAAAAAACGCAGTGTATAACCTTCATTTTTTACCAAAAATCGACTACGCCAAAATTTCTCGGGAAAACACTTTTTCTTATTAATTTTGGTACGTAGAATCCAAAACAATTCGTACTTTTTCGATCAGACTTCTCAATCAAAAGTTACAGACTAGAAACCAATTTCGAAAAAAAANGACCAGGTGTTCGATTTTATTAAGCCTTTTGCAAAGCCAGGGTTTTCCAGGACGGTCGACGTCAGAAGTTCTCCCAGGCGCTTTAGATTTTCTAACTTCTTCGACGCTCTACAGAGCACGCAGTCTAGCTCGGTTAGGAACGCCCCAGTTGTAATAATAATAATAATAATAATAATAATAATAATATATATTTCATCTTTTGGCCATTTAAGTAGTTGTAGTTGTATTTGGGTTTTGTATCATCCTGGGGAGGAGTACGCCCTCTCTAAATTTCTGCCAGATGGGAGGTTGAATAAATTGGGATTGACCGTTCTCGAAGAAGAATACCGATGTTATAGGCACCGGAGGGTGTTAATGGTACCTAGAGTTGGTAGAGGCTGGTCGGCAATCGTAAGGGCGAGAAGGTGGTGTAAAGTACCTGGCATATCCGACCACTGCACTTTTTCTTATTAATTTTGTTGCGTAGAATCCAAAACAATTCGTACTTTTTCGATTAGACTTCTCAATCAAAAGCTATAGACTAGAAACGAATTTCGAAAAAAATTCAAAGGGCTGTAACTTTTGATGTAGTAGCCCAATCTTGGAACTGTTTGAAATTATGGATTCTACAGGCCACATTCTATAAGAAAATTTTTTTTCCGGGTTGATCTGAGAGAATGTTTTTTTCGGGCCCCAAAAAAAGGCAGTGTATAAACCTTCCTTTTTTACCAAAAATCGACTACACCAAAATTTCTCGGTATATGCAGTACTTTGAAAACATGGCGAAATGGTTACGTTGGAATTAATCAATGGAAAAATATTTTTAAAACTAAGTAATTTATTTATTACAAACATTCGCTAGGTATTGTACCTAAAGCTGTCCTAAAATATCTTTCTATTAACATTAGCCTAACTAAAACCTATATCAAAGTAGAGACACACTTCCGCCTCTTCTGGGATCAATACTGCCTGTTATAATACCATTTCTTCTTGAAACTGCCGTCACTGCAGCAAATCCATCTTCAGTGGGCGTGATTATCGACTTATGGCCGATCGTCTCCAACTTCAGTTTGATAAACTAAAACTCTTTGTAATACAAACTTGAACAGTACGAAATAGAAACCTTATCAAAGTCTGGTTCATAACTAACAGCCATCGGTACTAATTGATGATGTAGTCTACTGGCGTTGACCGCAACGGATAAGTCCTCTCCAAACCACAATTCTCGCATAATCACTAACGAGGTGGTCGTGGTGATTTTCGTACCACCGGCCGCACCAATTACCAAAACGACATCGCCATTCTTATCCACGACTATGCTAGGACACATTGAGGATAACGGTTGCTTAAAGGGCCGAATAAAATTGGCCGGTGAGGGTGGAACACCAAAGTGGTTGGTTATACCGGGTGCTGAAAAATCGTCCATCTCGTCATTTAAAATTATTCCGGTGCGCGGTGACATGAATCCCGCCCCGAATCTACAACAGAATATAGAGCAATGGTCAAATTACGATCGGTTCATACACTTGATTTATAGTTCCTGTAACGGAAACGGCGTCTCCATTTGGGGCTAATATTGAAACGTGTGCAGTTCCATGGTCTTCTTCTATGGAATAATTCGCCCCATAGTGATGGGGGTCGTTAAACGTTCTATCCAATGTAAAATTTCTTCTTAGTTGTTTGGCGTAGTCAAACGATGTGAGGGTTTCCGTCAACTAAGGGTATAATAGCTCTTATAATTATCAACTGAACACAACCCTTACATTTTTCATATCTATGAAATTTGGATCTCCCATATCGGTTCTTTTCGCGTACGCATATTTGAAGCTTTCCACAATCCTTTGCCAATTATCTTCCTTTTTTATATCCGTAACGTCCAAATAATCTTGCAGCAAATTTAAAATAAATGTTAAAATTATCCCCGAGCCGGGTAACGGGGAAGTATGCAACGTGTACTCGTCCGGTAACTGGGATTTTAAGGTGGTTTGCCAGGTGGGTCTAACAAATGACGTTAGTAAAAACATTGTGTGTCGAGGGCTTACTGATATTTCCTGAAATCTTCCTCCGTGATGATACCGTTTGCCTCCCGTATGTCTTGAACAAGTAATTTTGTTAACTGACCATTGTACAATGCGTCAGCTCCATCTCGCGCAATTATCTCCAGAGTTTCGGCCAGTTTCGGACGTTTTACATGATCTCCCAACTTGTACGTTGAGTTTGTCGTTGGATTAATAAACACGCTCCTTAAAATATAAATAGGAAAGGTATATTATTAAGTACACTACTTGCTATTTTGGCGAACAAACAGCTTTAAGAATTTCAGATTGATTTGTATGTCATAATTAAATGGATTATACTGAGAAGTAGTCTGTCGACTGTAGTACAGCAAACTCGTATGTATTTTTATTGGTCCTAATCCCCAGTGCGAGTCTAGAGGTTTGGGGTTTAGCTCAAATTGCATCCTTTTTAGTAGAGCGATATGGTTACATTTCTGACCAAGCGTAGATAACTCAATTGTATATGATAATTTAACTAATCAACGATTGCTCAAGATTTAGTTACTTTATCGAGTGCCTATTAAACTGAATTAATAAAAATACTTTGCTGTAATGTAAGGTTTATTACAACTCAACTGCTCTGAGGCAGATTCAGTTAGACACTGAAATTTACATTATTTTCTGCAATACAGGTGAACAAGTAAGAAGGGGGGATTTTACCAATAACCAGTTTTCTTTGGTTAAGTATTAACAGTATAAATAAACTGTAACTCTGAAAATTTAGTATTGTATGGGAGAAGATTTGATCTGCTTCGAAGGGTCTTGAGTGTTATCCGCCGTTTAGTAGGGCGTAATTAACCATGTAAACAAAAGAGGGGATTAAATTTTTCAAAAGGATCAAGAAATTCTCTCTCTCTCATTTGTTAAGTTACCTATCTAAAAAATACATTGTTTCTTGTATATCGTCAATGGTGACGTCCTTTATAAACTACCTACTTAAAGTACGCTGCATAATTTCTTCTACCTAATTTTGTTGATTCTATTACCATGGTTACTACGTAGGTACGCCAGCTTTGCGGAACATCTTTCTCTCATGATAAAATATTAACAAGACGAATTCGGATAAAATAAGCTTTGGTGATATCTTGAAAATAACACGGTGTTTTATAGTGCATATTAATATCTCGTTCCTTTCGGTCGCTCAGATTTAAAATGGGCATCGTCCTTTAAAGTACCTATAAAACATCTAGTTATCTTAATAGTCATAATCCGAAGATTGTATACTGTAAAAGCGAAGCGGTGTAAATATCCTCTCTTTTACAACGCAATGTAAAAAGAATAATTATTGAGCTTGGAACGAAGAATAAACCCATTATCTTATCGCGTTTAGGCGTAAATAATTTTTAAAGTTGTCAATGAACCCTTTTATCATACTCAATCAAGAACCTGAAGATGTTTCACGCGCCCTTAAAATTTCACCCTGTAAAGTGGATACATGCAAAGTGTGGTAGAATTCTTAATATAAAAATCGTAATTTGCAAACGACTAGGGGTTGAATTTTTATGAGCACGTCTTTAGGGTTGCTAATGAACCCTTTTATCATACTCAATCAATGACCTAAAAATGTTTCACGCGCCTTTAAGCTTTCACCCCGAAAAGTGGATAACTGTTAAGTGTGGTAGAATCCTTAATGTAAACATTCGTAATTTGCAAACGACTAAGGGTTGAATTTTTATGAGCACGTCTTTAGGGTTCCTAATGAAACCTTTTACCATACTCAATCAAGAACCTAAAAATGTTTCACGTGCCCTTACAATTTCACCCCGAAAAGTGGATAACTGCGAAGTGTGGTAGACTCCTTAATATAAAAATTCGTAATTTGCAAACGACTAGGGGTTGAATTTTTATGAACACGTCTTTAGGGTTGCTAATGAGCCCTTTTATCATACTCAATCAATGACCTAAAAATGTTTCACGCGCCTTTAAACTTTCACCCCGAAAAGTGGATAACTGTTAAGTGTGGTAGAATCCTTAATGTAAACATTCGTAATTTGCAAACGACTAAGGGTTGAATTTTTATGAGCACGTCTTTAGGGTTCCTAATGAAACCTTTTACCATACTCAATCAAGAACCTAAAAATGTTTCACGTGCCCTTACAATTTCACCCCGAAAAGTGGATAACTGCGAAGTGTGGTAGAATCCTTAATATAAAAATTCGTAATTTGCAAACGACTAGGGGTTGAATTTTTATGAACACGTCTTTAGGGTTGCTAATGAGCCCTTTTATCATACTCAATCAAGGACCTAAAAATGTTTCACGCGCCCTTAAAATTTCTCCCCGAAATGTGGATAACTGCGAAGTGTGTTAGAATTCTTAATATAAAAATTCGTAATTTTCAAACGACTAGCGGTTGAATTTTTATGAGCACGTGTTTAGGGTTGTCAATGAACCCTTTTATCATACTCAATCAAGGACCTAAAAATGTTTCACGCGCCCTTAAAATTTCTCCCCGAAAAGTGGATAACTGCGAAGTGTGGTAGAATCCTTAATATAAAAATTCGTAATTTGCAAACGACTAGGGGTTGAACTTTTATGAACACGTCTTTAGGGTTGCTAATTAACCCTTTTATCATACTCAATCAAGGACATAAAAATATTTCACGCGCCCTTAAACTTTCTCCCCGAAAAGTAGATAACTGCGAAGTGTGGTAGAATCCTTAATGTAAAAATTCGTAATTTGCAAACGACTAGGGGTTGAATTGTTATGAGCACGTGTTTAGGGTTGTCAATGAACCCTTTTATCATACTCAATCAAAGACCTAAAAATGTTTCACGCGCCCTTACAATTTCACCCCGAAAAATGGATAACTGCAAAGTGTGGTAGAATTCTTAATATAAAAATTCGTAATTTGCAAACGACTAGGGGTTGAATTTTTATGAGCACGTGTTTAGTGTTGTTAATGAACCCTTTTATCATACTCAATCAAGGACCTAAAAATGTTTCACGCGCCCTTAAAATTTCTCCCCGAAAAGTGGATAACTGCAAAGTGTAGTAGAATTCTTAAATATTAACAAGGCGGCTTTGGTGATATCTTGAAGATAACACGGTGTTTTGTAGTGCATATTAATATCTCGTTCCCTTCGGTCGCTCAGATTTAAAACGAGCATCGTCCTTTAAAGTACCTATAAAACAAAGAAGACAAAAGAATACGCGAGCTGAGCACCAATCCGAAGTCTCAAGATCAACCCTCAATCCGCAATAGTTTCACGAGATGATTAGATTACCTTTACCGTTGTGTAAAACTCTATTTTATAGTAGATGCCATATAAATCATCATAAAATTTCTACAAATTTTGAATTTCATTTAGACGCTTAGGTTTTCCCGTCGTTTCCATGGAAACATTTCTGACCTGATTTTAATTCGTGCTCCGCGTCCCAATTTTAATAAGAATGACAGATGTCATTGGCATGCGACCGTACCGTGCACTGCCTCGACGAAGAGTGATTTTAGCTCTTTCCTCGTTGCCATTCACGCCAGTGGACATTTGCGACCCCCTCGTCAAAGGCGCTAAATCTAGCACCCGGTTTTTAGCAGGTACTGGAGTCGACATGTCCGTCTTTCCCGGCACCAATTCGCCAAGCGCCGAGCAAGTGTTAACTTTTCGCTGCCAATGGAACGTTCCATCAACACCTACGATACCAAGTTGCTGTCCCCAGACATGATTCCAGATCGTTACCCACTACCTAATATTACACAAATTCTGAATAGATGTACCCCTTCCTCAAAACTCGATCTTGTGCATGCATTCCATCAGATACCCTTTCTGGCTATTTGAGTTTTCGATGAGCCAAGCGAACATGGGACAAGAGAATTTGTAGGAAATTACTTTCGAGTGTGTAAAATGACCACTAGGGGGCGCAACAGTCAGGATCAAATATAAAATTTTAATTTTTTCCGTATTATATCTAATAAAGTGCTATCAAAGATAGCCGAGTTTTAATCCTGACATAATACTAATTTTGTTTTGTTTTACTTTTCTTTCTTATCTTGTGAAATAAAGTGGTCGTCATTAATCTTTAATTCAAGTGTTTTCTTTTCCAAGGATCACTTGTCTAAACTTAAATGCGTTCATTTCGGGTTCAAATGTGCTAAAAATAGTTCTAGTTTAACAGATATTAAAATTTTTGTAGTAATTTAAATAGTTTTATGTTCTTCTTCGAAACATAATATATATTAAGCATTAAAATCGTCCAATATTATAAAAAATTAAAACCAAAAAATTCATATATTTTAATCTATTTTGGCCAATATCTCTGGTTCTAAAAAAGATGCAGACCTAGCATTTTTACTGAAATATAATTGAGTATTTCATTCTTTATTTTATCGCGTAAAAAAAGTAATTTCTCATTGAATTTTTTCAAGAAAAATCATAGTATATAGATAAATTTCAGTTAACGCCCGCTTAGCTCCAAAATAAGTTCCAGCAATTTCTCTTAGCCACTTTTATTACATAATTTTTTACCCGAAAGCTCTATGTCTACTAGTTTCTGAGATATGACTGACGGCCATTCTTATTTGGCCATCCGGTACATTTCAAAAAATAAAATTTGATAGAGCGAAAGGGATACTGGGAGTTCATTTTTGACCTTTACAGCCGTAGTTGCGTTTGATTAATTCTCTATAATTAAAGCACCTATTTGTTTTAGCCCTAATTTTCACTTTTTGTTGTGTCAATAGGTCACTACATCCACTAATAAGACCCTTGCTCATATCAACGATATTTTTCCAGAGAAAGTTTAATCGGTATCGAGTACATACGCTATCACTAATATAGTAGTAGATAATATTGTCACTACGGACAAAAAAATAGAAATAAACATTCCAGATAGGATAAACAATTCAGGGTACGAAACCTTACAACCTGTACTGAAAATACCTTTTTAGGGAAATTTTTTATTTCGAAAATTATATGATGGTTTTGTCCATCTGCCTGTCTGTTCCTCGTATAACTCGAAAACGAAACACGATTTGATTGAACTTTACTTGAGGTAACTTCGTTTAATCTTAAAGTTATTATACTGACAGTTAATTTCTGCCAACTTACCTCAAACCAGGGTCCTTCCGAATTTGCCACTCATTCCTCTCAAAAACAGTTTGAAGATATGGTGTAACTAAGAGTCCTGTTTTGCATAATTCGATAGTGGGCTGAACTAGATCCTTCCATGGCAAAGCGCCGTACCGTTGATGCGCCGCCCAATAGCCACGTAACTCTCCTGGAACTGCAATGGATAGCCCCCCTGAAAAAATTAAACGATTAACTTATCGCTAAAAATATCTAGGTACTACCTTTGTAAGCCAATCCGGCGTTGCTTCCAAACATATCTTCATGGGCGGCTAAAGGTGCAACTTCTCTAGCATTCAAACTCTCCAACCTACGCCTTTCTTTAATGTAGATCGTCATCAAAAACCCACCACCGAGCCCAGTGCTCTGAGGCAACGCGACTCCCTCGCAAAATAGAGTCGCGATAGCGGAGTCAACGGCCGATCCGCCATTTTTAAGAATAGTGCTAAACCCAAGATTTAGACAAATGCAAATTTAAGAACGTTAGATACCTTCCAATTTCGGCACATTCGTGTCCATTACTCACAACGCCTCCTTCCAGTTGCTTACCTTTTACAGCAAAATATATACCAACGGCTACGGAAATTCCAATAAAAACGATCCCTAGAACCACCAGTACGCATTTTTTTGGTCTAAAAGGATAAACTGGACTCAGTAAATGGTTAGGTATTATGGAGCCCTAATGATACAGATATGTAGGTATTCAAAGTTGTTGTATTACAGTATTGCTATGTAGGTTGAAATAATGCCGAGAATAAGGGTATGCCTTCCTGGGTTGGTAATGAAAGCGCGGAAGTAGCGTAACTTCTAAGTTTTGGAAATTGCTAGCAGGACATCCTGTATTTAACATTATTCAAAGCTTGATCAAGAAATTTGGTGGAATTTTGTTACAGTCCGTTACGCTTAAATTTCAAATACGCATTTTTTCAGGTAGTCAGCCGGTGTTTCGAAGTCTTAAGTTACTCAGTTAAATTAAATAGAAGTGATACAGGAATAGTTTTCCGATTTCTGTCCAAATTTAGTGTTTAGGCAATTAGTTTCAAGTTATAGAAAACTTGGTGTTTTTTCCATTTTAAAATGATGTCTTAAAATTAAGGTTTGTATCCGAGCTGCCAGTTCAATAATGCCAATCGTTGGAACCATCGTTGCTTATTAAAAAAAAGAAAATTGTGTACAGGATTGTGGTTTTTTTACATAATTCTGTGAAAAGTGTTTGTTTTCGTCGTTTATTGCAGCTGTACAGGCGGAATTGAACAAAAATTTGGATGATTACAACAAAGTAGTAAGTATTTTTGGTGTATTCGACCATTTATAACGAGGTGAAATGTTCAATAAGACATTAAAGTTTGTTTTTGTTTGTTCAATGAAAATTTCTCTTTTTTCGGGTTAACCGCTGGCTATTCCCAATCAAGATTTAATACTGTTGTTTCATTTGAAATACGGATTTCCGGAACTTCAAGATTTTGATAAGTCCGTGTTGAGATTTTCCAGCGTTTCGGAATCCAGATGAACCCTGGGATTCAATTTTTTTTATTACAAACGAGGTTTATAAGAAGATGGGGTTTATTACAAATTTTAATTTGTGTAATTTGAGTTATAGCGAGGTAAGTGTTAATGGAGTGGTGTAATGAGGTCATACCACTGCACACAGCAATAGTTTCTGGCGCCCCAACAACGGGGGGAAATTCAGGGAATTTTTTAATTTAAATTCAGATTAGGGAAGTTTTTGTCCGACAAACAGGAGTAATTGCAGGGGTAGGTACTGGTAAATAGAGACAGAGACTGGGCGCCATCTGTCTCAAAATTCGCGATAATACGCAGAATGAAAGTGCACTACAACGGGAAGGCACAAGCTGGTGGTTATCAACCTCGAGATCTGGTTCGGTTGTGTCATCCCCAAGGATGGTGCGGGCTATCTCCGAAATTCCAAAGAGCTTGAAAAGAATTATATTCCAGCACCATTTGTAAGACGGAGGATTGTTTTTTTTTCAAGAATGGAAGACGCACGAGGGCGTCGTCCTGTAAGTACCACCATTAAGTTGCCTTTCCAGAACCAGAGTTGCCTGGGACTCCGTTACCGCCGCCTTCCGTGTTACGACACGCAACAAGTGTAGCGCACATTGAAGAAATCTCGGTAGACGTCGAGGTGCCATGAAAGATTAGTCATCGGCGATGAAGAACAAAGGCGAATGTGATGTGATCTTTCGGGGAAATATGACGTGTTTGTTTGAGAATGTTCCAGAATAGTCGGATGCCTTCGGAAACGCTCGAGATCTCTCGAGAAACAGAAAGCGTTTGCTATATAAACAAACGAATTGCGTTTCAGTTCAGTTCCAACTTCGATGCGCCTGTTATAAATTGGAAAGTAATAAATAATAATTACTGTTATCCATTTTAAGGTTTTAATTGCAGAAGTTTATCAAAAAAAAGAAATAGGAGAGGAGTATGAAATGTTATTGAATCGAATGGAAGAAAATACAAGGTTATCCTCGTTGGAAACGATAAGGGAAAAAGGCTGAAGGGCGTAAAATAGATGATTTAATAAGTAATAGGGGGAGCCAGGAGAAGAGGTATAAGTGATAGATATAGGAAATTTTATGAGGAAATTGCGCGGTATTTTCATTTAATGTGCGGGCATAACGGAATTACGAAAGTTTGGCTACTGATGGAGAGAATTTTTATTGTAAACTTGTAAATTCCCGTTGTGTAGAAAAATAAAAGAATTTTAGCAACCAAAATGAACTTCATTAAAACTAGTGATCCTTTACAAATTGTAACAATTGATTGACTTAGTAAAAAGTAGCAAAAAATAAGCACATTTTAGTAATAATTGCTTTCTTTTCTCGTTTTACGAAATTGCCTCTTGTGCTAGTGTGCACGTAACGAGATGGATTAAGTTAGCACCCTAAATCCGCATCCAAATTTGTACCATCACTAAAATATTGTGCTCATTTGTGCACCAATCCCCAAATTTTGTGCGCTTCTCGTTTACGAGAAAATAGGTACCTACAACTTAATGCTGGAACACCATCATTCTCGTATCAACATGACACTAATACCATAGTTTTGTGCTCGTTTTGTACTGATTTGTGCGCCAATACTCAGGTTTTGTGCGCCTTTTCTTTCGGAGTAATTCAAAATCTCTAAAGGGAGAGCCAACATAACGTAGCACCCCTTACAACCGGAGCGATTTTAACCTGTCATAGTTTTTGTGCCGATTTTATGCTGACTTATGCGCCAATTCCCGAGTTTTGTGCGCCTTCCATTTCAGAAAAAATCAAAATGTTCAATTATGGATCCACCTTAATACTACACACAGTCATGCTCGTATGGATATGGCACAAATACCATAGTTATGTGCTTGTTTTGTGCTGATTTGTGCGCCAATACTGAGGTTTTGTGCGCCTTTCGTTAGAAACGGAAAGCGGACAAAACTCTAACATTGGCGCGCAAATCAGCACAAAATAGGCGCAAAACTATGACATATGTTTCCACTCGTTCTTATTGAAAGGTTGCCACTCCGAAAGGAAAAGCGCATAAAACGAGCACAAAACCATGGTATTAGAGTCATGCGGATAGGACGATAATGATGTTCCAGCTTTAAATTTTTGATTTTCCCGTAAATGGGAAGCGCACAAAATTTGGGGATTGGCGCACAAACCAGCACAATATTAACGATGCAACAAATTGGGGTGCCGATTTAGGGGTGCCCACTTAACCCAGCCTACGTAACGTGGACTCTGTGAAGAGGTTTATTAACCAAACAAACAACCTTGGAAAAAGGTCTACATAATTAATACCAGAATAACAATAATCTGTGTAGGCCCAAGTCCAAATGCGTCTATAAATGATTAGTTATTAAACCTTGAGATGTCTCGGAACAAATTATCATGTCTACTTGAGTTGAAAAGGGAAGATATTATTACCTATCTGGTATAATTTTTAAAAACTTACATTTTTAAATAATGATAATCAGTATAATCCACTTAACGAGCTCCTAAGCGAGTTCATAACTTGGGACTTTCTGTCCGTTCGCCTGAGTTCATAATAACTCGCGAACGGTTTCGAATTTTTCAATTATGTTATCAGTTTTATGTTTATCATTATCCGAGGAAGAAATGATAAAATTTTCAGTGACCCAGAAGTTGGTTTGCTACCTATATTTGTCACAAGTTTATTACAAATCAAAATGTCTCTCCAGACAACTCATAAAAGTATGACAGTTCAATATACACTTATAGCAAAAATCCGCAACTGCTACTGCAACTGCCTCCATTTTGGAAAGTGACGTATAGAAACAGTTTCTTTTTGCCGTTTATCTACTCCCATCTGCATCCTACCCAGAACGTTTGAAGTAAAAAATACGCTGTAGAAGTGCTCATTCATTCTTGGGCCAGAAATTTATCTTGGCCATGAGGAAAACAGCACTAATTATGTTACACAACATCGAAGGCATAAAATATATACAATTAGGAATAATAAGCATTTCTTTTTAGTTAAATGCATACCATTAGCGTACAAGGTTCCGCAACCAAATTTTACACTACCAAACCAGTTTAGCTTTCAGAAAATGTACAAGGAAATATTCGGGGTAGCCATACTCTTAGAGGAAGATTAACCCCATTTTTTTTATTGAACCGAAGCGATAGGAATTAAAATAAAATTAGGTCCGCTTAGGGAATTGAATACACTTTTATGTGAACCCAATGTGGCATTTAATCTTGATTTAACTTGATCATCTTTCAATAATGCATGGGCGTCTTTATGCATCTTTTTTTGTAGTTTTGGGAAAATTGGATAGCAAAAGTAAGATCAAACTACCTAAGCTACTTCGAGACAAATTACCAAAGACCATAGCCTTGCCCCTAAATAGAAAGTCGACCTGTATTAGATCGATTGAAATGGGTATTTGTGAAAGATTACAGTCTGAAGATAATCTTACTGTTTACAAACACGTTTTTGGACATTTACAAACACGTTTTTGGACATCTGCAAAACTATATCATGGCACAAAATAAGCCTTTGAACTGCTTCTTAAATTCAAGCCTAAGGGCTGGGATAAATCCTACTGAGGCCTGGTTTAAAATTATAAGAGCATATGGAAGTGCCACTAATTAACGAAATTAAAATTCAAAAAATTGCGGTTAACATCGTATCTGTAAAAATGAATGAATTGATACTTACGAACAAAACATAATTCTTATGACCTTAAACTAAATAGGTATGTAATCCTAGATAAGTGCTTTAGAATGGTTTTGACACACTCCACTTTCTTTAGTGCATTATAACGCGTTAGTCGCGAAACTGCGATGTGGTTGTCTTGTGTGCACCCACTACAAAAGTGAAATTGCTACGTTTAGTTTAAACAACATTCGCTTCGAACGCGCCTTTTATCTAAATCCCATATCACTTATCAGAACACAAACCACGTGTAATTGACGTATTCACTTTAGTATTCTACGTGCAATGGGAAATAAAAAAAATACCCTTTACTCCTAACGTAATTGCTCTCCATTGAATATTTTTTAGTGGTGTGTCTCCTACATATCAAAACAGTTCATAATATTATGTTGATCAGAAAATGGGTACCGCATGTCCCCATTTTTATTATTTACTATTTGAAAAAAATACATATAATTCTCGCCAGGAAAGATTGCCGGTCACAGAACACCTGATCCCGGTCTACAATCTGTTTTTCTTAAGATGCGAGCGACTTCCGGAATAGGATCGTGCTTAATGTTGAACGAAAAGTCTTTTTGTTCAACATTGACACTATACTATCCCGGAAGCCGCTCGCATCTTAAGAAACACATAGATTGTAGACCGGGATCAGGTGTTCTGTGACCGGCAATCTTTTCTGGCGAGAGGTTTACTTCATAAAAGTTGTTGCTTTCAAAACCTTTCAAAAGTTCGCTCCCGTTTCAGAGAAAAATACAAAATACGAAAATGTGGTGGAGTTTTCCAAAAAGCTGATACGCATTTTATGGTATATCGTTTTCATTATTTGCTTTGATCCATTATCCTTTGATTATATTATTAATTTTCGATACAGCATTTCAGCATCTGGGAATCATCCGAGTGATTAATTAAACGAGCAAAAGAAAAATCATATTTGTTATTTATAAATAAGGTCACCTTCATTCGCCAAGATATAATAAATAAAAATAACATACCTGAAATATTAAAGACCAGAACTGCTTCTATTATATAGTCTCTTTTTCATACAAATGTTTATTTCGGTCTATTAGGTGTAACCTTGTCATTTAACACTGGTTTTATATTTTCGTTGTAATAATAATTGTAAAAAACCTGACATTATGTTTGCTAATCATGCAAGCTCCCAGTAAGTGCCAGCGAAAAATCTATCCATTCGTTCGTTCACCTTTCTGAGAGCTATTTAAAACATTCATCTACAACAGAAGTGACGGTAATTTTACTTGCAACAATTAAGTGTTTCGATACGATACGATTGTCTGTACGTCTGTTATGTCCTCTTAAACCGTGCATCCGATTTGCCATGAAGCTTTGGGGAATCGACTTAAAAGTTATACTATAAAGTTATCATTAGACATTAGCCATTATCCATTAGACAGTATCCATTAGACATTCGTCATTGGACATTCGACATTCGAAATTCGACACTCGACATTCGACATTGGACAATAGACATTGGACAATAGACATTGGACAATAGACATTGGACAATAGACATTGGACAATAGACATTGGACAATAGACATTGGACAATAGACATTGAACAATAGACATTGGACAATAGACATTGGACAATAGACATTGGAAATTAGACATTGGACAATAGACATTGGACATTAGACAATGGACATTAGACAATGGACATTAGACAATTTGGCCAAAATTCTAATTTTCCATGCATTGAGGGGCATTTCATGGGAATTTTGGACATAAACAATGATGGAAACGAATTGTAACCGCATTTTGTGCTGAATTTAAAATTAATTTGCCTTGAATTAGTATTTCAGATCCATTTTATAAGTTGCACTTCAGCCGATTTTTTACTGAATTTAAAAATGAGAAATATCTGTCAACGAATTTGAATAGTCTTTGTGCTCAATTTTGAACTAACTTGACGTTAATAGTTTTAGTTGCATTTGAGTGCATTTCTACCGAAGAGTTAGGTAGGTACTGAATTCTAGACTGAATTTGAACATATGCAAGAAACGAATTTGAACCGTATTAGTTTTAAATGAATGCGAGGTGCGTTTCAGTCGAATTTTTATTGGAAAAAGCAACATTAGAAACGAATTTGTACTGAATTTCAACCAAGATAATCCGATTTTGATATAAATTTTAAATTAAATGCATGCAATGAAATCTCACGGTTGATCTTGATCAAAACTTTGTTCTGCACAAATATGTGCGCATTTCGAAATGTGAGACGATAGTCGTTGCACAAATGAACTTCGCACCCGAAACATTAACTTTGTAGTTATTACTTTGGCTAATAATGTATGATTTAATTACGTTTTTGGATGCACCATCCATGGCTTTAAAATTGACTTTTTTACACATAATACGGGTGTTTAATTCAGGTTCCTTTTTTTTGTTTTCTGGATGTAAATAACATTTTTTTCCTCCACTCAGTACTTCACTCCAAGCTTGTGACGGTGATTCACGTTCGTGCCTTCGTTCTTTTTCGTTAAAAAATTGAGTCATAGGTATATACGCATGCGCTAGTAGCAAGAGTAGTTTACTATTCTGACACTGGTGGCGTATTAGTTGATCACGATTGCCGCTAGTAGTGAAGTAATTTTATCTTTAGATCAAACTGCGTTTTATCCGAGGTACGAAGTTTCTGGTTTTATGAATTTGTGTAAAGGATAGTTCTGGTTGCTGTATATAGTGTACAAGATGAATGGAAAAATGTCGTTGCTTCGCGCCAAAATATGTAGGTATCTAAACCATAGAGTGGGATAATCTGCCGTAGTTGGCTTATGCATTGTTCGTCAGTTTGCTACTTAAGTGATTTTTTGGTTATTTCTGTTGTGCGTTGTGCTAGAGTTCGTAAAATATGGAATTCTTCCAACAGGTGAATCTATATCTATAACGTAGCATTTTTTTTAGAGCCTATTGTGAAGGGGTAGGTACACATGGCTGACGAAAAAGACCTGCAGAACGGCTTGGACGAACATCTAGATAGGTATGTTTGCGTATTTTTTTGCGATTGCATGTTACAAAAATTCCTCGAAAAATTCATTATGGCTGACTACCAGTGGCGTACCCAAGGTAAAGCCCGAGGGCGCCACAGGTTTCGTAATTTCAGAAAGCCTATTGCGTCATTTTGTTAATATATCATCATAAAATTATTACTCCATTACTGGCAATGGTCAGAATGGATTGGGTAGTAGCTAAATTCAAGTGTTTTTGGCATATGGGAAGCGCTCTGAACTTTTCGTAGTTTCAAAATGGTGGCTATTTAAAATGGCGAAACTTCAAAATGCGGCACATTTACAATATTTTCGTAGATACTTAAACATATGGGGTAGATACACGTCTGCAAACTGATATAATTAAGATACCTATGTTAATATGGAAACAAAAACATCCGCAATTACAAACCGATATCTAGAATTTTTGGCAAATTTTTAGTTTGGATCTAAGTGAAAAAAATGCATCTTACTAACACTCTCGCATTATTTTTTATGATTTCAAGTGTCGTCTGTACCCCAAGCAATGTGTTGAAACTACATTTGCTTGGTGCACAAATTTCAAAATTCTATAGCGATTTCAATTTAGGTAAGTTTTATTAAAATTACAATCTACCCTCGAATCTACCTATAAAGAGTCTAACTTCAATACTCTGAGTACAATTGCAATATACCTGCTATAAATGAGAGACTTTACAATGCTACTCGCATATATTTTTTTTTATTTTTATTTTTTTTTATTTTTATTTTATCCCTCTCTTGTTTTGGGCCCTCAACAGGCATGCGCCCAATTACAGAGTGACCCGCATAATGCTATTTAGAGGCCCCCCCCCCATATATTAAGAACTGCGGCGTTTGGATCGCGAAATTGTCGCCATTTTGAAACAATGACATCCCAGACTTTAGAGTCTTTCTAAGAGAAATGAACATAAATAAAATCCAAGTGCTAAAATAAATATCCACATCAAAATAACTTAAATCTAATAAGTTGGTATAGTAGCTATAAGTTTTCTATTTTAAAAAATTCGCTAAAAGGTATTTAAGTCCCATTTATTTCCCTTGTAAGTGCTTAAACAGTGTGCAGAGTATTTACGTTCAGAATTTGATAGTGTTGGATAAGAAAGCGTATTTCTTCTACAACGTAGTTAATGTAGAAATACCTTTTCAGAGGTGGATATTCAGTCAAAGGTAAGTATAATGTTGTAGGTATCTGTTTTTCAAAAATAAACGTCACTGGCCATTATATTAGGCCACGCCGACAAGGTTTAAAAACCCGATCTATCACACTTCCACTAGTGCGGTCTTATGGTGTTTTTTTATAAAAATCACGATCGAGCGCATTTTTTTCCCAAAACGCAGAACAAACCGTAAAAAATGCGAAAAAAATGTATGGAATTGTAGAGGACCAAATTTCCCACAAAAATTCGGATTTGTGTGAATTCTGTGTGTCTCCAGTTCCCTTTTGTGATGTTCTTGCATTGTTCCTAAACTCAGTAAAAATGACTTTTTTGCACAAATTATAGACAATGTAATATTTCACAAAAATTCTGAAATGCCGTATAACTTGCCTGGATGCTCACAACTGCACAACTTAACTTCGACTAATCTCCTACACTGAAAACTGCCCTTTTTATTTATTTTTAAATTTTCCTTTACCACTTACCTCTTTTGTCTCCTACTTTATTCTAGTTCCATTCAAATCCTCCTCAAGTTTCGTATCAAACTTCGGTTCCCTGTCAATTTTCCTTTTAAGTGTCCCTCCCTCGAAAATTTCCCTAAAATTCCTTTAAAGGTTCCATCAAATCTCCCTAAAATTAATTGTGCCTCAGTACCCTCCGCAAAGGACGACTGGAAGGGGGAGTTGTCTTTCACACTCCCTGATCCTCGGCTTTTAATAAGTGCTTCCACAAACGCATTCAGCCTTCAAGATGATAATTTTGGGAAAGGAAAGTCGAATTTTTCTTTCCTGACTTCACAGGGTCGGATCATGGCTCTAAGATCGGTGTTTGGGGAGAACGTAGCTCTGGGGGATATGGAATACCGCCAACAGGAAGTACTTTCAGCAAGGTATCTTACCCCTAGCACTTTCGGGATACTCCTTGAGAAAAAGTAAGGATTAAAATAGGCATGTTATTACACTTCCATGAAAAAGTGATACCTTTTAAACCTAGGGAGAGTAAAGGTCTGGGGTAAGTCAGATTTCTATTCTGCCTAGGTTTGTGCCGAACTCGTCTTTGACTCGCACGGCTCTGGTCTCAAAACTATCACTATTGCATACGTTTGGCTCACTTCTATGTATAAGTATTTTAAAACCGAAGGCGAGTTCGGCTCAGACCTAAGCAGAGTAAAGGTCTGATGGGGTAAATCATATTTCTACCCTCCTTCGGCTCGCTCGGCACTGGTTTCAAGACTGTGACGGCTTGATTGGCATTAAAATTGGCGAATTACACTTCTATGCAAAGGTGATACTTAAAACCAGTGTCGAGCCATCCGAAGGAGAGTACGTCACACACGAGTTAAGCAGAGTAAAAGTCTGATGGGGCAAATCAGCTTTCTACTCTGCCTAGGCTTGGTTTCTAAACTATCACTGATGATGCCCTTGGCTCGTTCGGGATTAAAGTAGGCGAATGTGCCTGTTATTACTCTTCTATGTAAAAGTGGCACTTTTAAAACCAGTGCCGAGCGAGCCGAAGGCGAGTTCGGCACAAACCTAGGCAGAATAATGGTCTGACAAGGTAAGTCTCTGACTGTGCCTAGGTTCTCTTGTGTATAAATTCAAATCAAGCTCCCACTAGATTCTTCACAAATTCCCTTCAAATCTTCCTGAAGTTCATATCAAGTGTATTTCTCAAATTTCCACCGTTGCTCTCAGATTCCCCCAAAGTTCGTCTTAAGCCTCCGTCGGGTTTTTCTTCAGCTTCCCCAAAATTTCCATTAAATCCTCGCAAGGTAACTCACAAGTTCGCTAAAATCCAGCCCTTGGCTCGTTCGGGTTTAAAATAGGCACGTTATTACACTTCTATGCAAAAGTGATGTTTTTCTCAAACCTAGTCACATTTCTCCTCAGCCTAGGCTTGTCCTGAACTCGCCTTTGGCTCGCTCGGCACTCGTTTTAAAACTATAACTATTGCATACGTTCAGTTCATTCGGGATTAAAATAGGTATGATATTGCACTCCATGCAAGTCATACTTTTAAGTGTCTGATGATGTAAGGCAGATTTCTACTCTGCCTAGGTTTGTGCCGAACTCGCTTTCGGCTCAAGAGTATCACTGTTGCATGCCCTTGACTCGTTCGGCATTAAAATAGGTGAATGCAAAAGTGATTAAAACCAGTGCCGAGCGAGCCGAAGGCGAGTTCGCCACAAACCTAGGCAGAGTAAAAATCTGATGTACCCTATCACATCGTCGACTGCCTCGGCACTTATTTCAAAACTATCACTTTTGCATTCCCTTGGGTCATTCGGCATTAAATTGGGCCTGTTATTTACACTTCTATGTAAAAGTGATACTTTCAAAGCGAGTGCCGAGCCAGCCGAAGGCGAGTTAGACACAAACCTAGGCAGATTAAAGGTCTGATATCTACGCTGCCTAGGTTTGTGACGAACTGCATACCTTCGGCTCATATTACACGTCTACGTAAAAGTGTTTTAAAGCCAGGGCCGAGGAGGCGAGCCGAAGGTTCAGTACAAACCCAGGCAGAGTAATCGTCTGATTGTGCAAGTCAAATTTCTACTCCCACAACAATACATTTATTCGTATGTCAGATTGCTACTATGCCTATAGGTTTGTGCTGAGCTCGCCTTTGTCCTCGCTCTTCATTGGTTCCACTTCCAAACTATCACTTTTGCATGCCCTTGGCTCGTTCGGCATTAAAATAGACGAATGCAAATATGATATTTTTGCAAAATGAAGGTCAGATTGGTAAGTCAGATTTCTACTTGTGCTGAACTCACATTTTTGGCTCGTTCGGAACTGGCGTCAAACTATTAGCGCTCTCGCGATAATCTTTGAAAAAAAAGAAAAGATTCTTCGTGTACTGGAGAGGGAGGGAGAATGTATCTCTCATGATAGTTTTCGGGAAAGGACAATTACATTTTCCCCGATTTCCCCTCGCCCCTCTCACTTTTTTCATAAGCCGAAGAGAGCCGAAGGTTGGTTCGGACCTAGGCAGAGTAAAGGTCTGAATACATTTATTCGTATCTATTTTGGTTTGCCCTGCGTTTCTTAGATATGCGGTAGTTGTGATAGACTGAACCTAAGTTTGCCGTCTCTTTCTAACGATGGATCGACAACGAAATTACTGTACAAATGAAGTAGCAGTAATTATGACATAGTCACGTGGGGTCTAAGAACAAAAATTTAGGTTCCGAGAGCGTCCCCATTCAATTCGATATGGCACATAGCAGTATGAAATGTTTACCTATGATGTAACACTAGGACGCCATAAATTTAGGAAGACAATGTCGAATGGCATGACTTAACTTCAACTCGATGAAACAACTTAGTAAAGTTGTGGAAGTTAGAAAGTGGTCTTTGTGGTAGACAATAGCAGCTGGGCGTTTGTAAATCTAGCTAAGTAATTAGATAAGAAAACCTAAAATTAGCTAGATAATTTGGGGATGAAGAGTCTGTAACGTATCTTGCGTTTTTTGTTCATATCAAAACGCAAGAATTATCAAAACTGGCGGCGAAAGATTTGGAATGAGGAAGGTACAAGTGGAAAGGGTACGGTAGGTTTTGAACAGATTCAAGATAGCAACAAAATATGACGCAAACAATTATTATATTAACGTAATTTGTTTCAGTCCTCAACCCAACCAACTTGATTCGTCTTACTTTGCTTACCAACAGTCCCAGTCGGTGTGGTATTACGATCCTTACCTGCACCAAACAGTGCCTGTACTTCTTCTAGAAGAGGGCGCATTTTCAAATACATACCTCCCCAGCTCGGAGGAACACGACCATGTAATCCAAAATACACCAAACACTGTACGTACTGGCCATAGCAGCTCGCCTTCGAATACGACTTTCACAGGTGATTGTAGCAAAACGGTAGATTGTTCACTCCACAATAAAATCATTGGGTATTTTGCAACAGGTATGGAATGCAGAACCGAGGCACCAGTGCTAAGTGAGGTAATAAATGGTAGAGCTCACAACAGAAAGGATTCTCCAATGCCAACTAAAATGTATCATAATACTAGAAGGAAGTCGCTCCCCGTGAATTTGATATTAGTGGGCGCGACTCCAAGTGGCAGTGATAGTCATTCGCACAACCAAGATAAGTCATTACCAAATCCTGACGAGAGTTTTGAAATAAACTATTTCAATGACCCACTTCATGTAGAATCGGAAATAGTAATAGGTATGAATGGAGACATTGGCGATGGTCACTCCACAGATGCAGGAACCCTTAATGATGAGGCTAACTCTGAAAGTCAATTCTCAATTGAGACGAGCAGCTCAAAAGAGGCTAATAGTGGGCGAACGCTTACACCAAAACAGTCCACCAAGTCTACCGCTAGTGAATTTCGAGTCTCCGACTACCATAAAACAGTTACACGGAAAGTCTATGGAAATGCTAAGCGCCTCGCTAAACAAAGAATGGCTAATGAGGCTGAAGATCAGCGTGCGTCTATACCAAGAACAGGGTACATTCAGCCAACTGAGAAGATCTTGAGCAACCCACCTGAAAATCCACGAAAAACAACTCAAACGCTCAGAGAACCTACTGAGGTTGCGGCCAAAGCACCGTCGAGCGCGTCCACTAAAGATAAAGAAAATCATCTTATCGAGCTGCCCGTAGATTTGCCGAAACTTCGAAAGGTCTGGCAAGATGCCATGATTCCCCTGAAAGAATGCGTACCGAGGGTTTACGCGAATTCGTCGAAGAAACCTCAACGGGAAAGGTCCAAATTTGATCAACTGTTCGGTTCGGACACTGACGACGATTATGGCGATAAATCGACAAACGGCAAACGCTTGATTAACTCGATGCCTTGGAGGGTGAGAGAAATCGATGATTATATTATGTTGATAATAAATCGCGGCCAGATTTCGACGTGTGACGCCGTGTTTGAGACGGCCCTCGAGCTTAACGTTGATGAATCGGAAAGAGCGGTGGCCGAATATGGTGAGATCAAACTTGAGTTGGAAATTCCAAGTGTTGCTGAAGTGACCGTTTATTCCGATACAGTAACTGCGAGACAGGCTTGCGGTTCTGATGAGACTGAAACAGTAAATGAGATTAATAACCTCATGGAGATGCATTGGAATGAAACCGACATCCCCATTATATTTCACAACGATCAATGTCAGGAACTCACAGATAGTGTTCAAATGGAATGTGGACGTGACACCGAAACCGAAATTCGCAGTAGGCCCGCTCGTGGCCGGGCACGAGGCAGAGGTCGTCGGCAAGCTCGAGGTCGTGGGGGCAGATATACAACTCGAGCCACCTCCCAATCTTCAAACGTTGAAGCGATCGCCACCGAATTTTGCAAGGAACTCTGGGAGCTCATCTTTTACAATGTGAAAAACTGCGAAATACTAGTTAGGCAAACAAAAAGCTACACCAAAATCCAGCCGGCGAAGGAGAAGATTAATTTAGTCCTGAAACACTATCACCAAGCGCGAGAAAAGGAAGTTGAAGAACTAGCCCGGCTCACTCTGGGTTTTCTGCGCCAGCACACTATATCCAACTTTATATATAAACAATTTTTAAAATTCTGCTACGAGTACGGTCGCCAAAAAGGAATGCGGGTAACAGTTCCGGCGCTAGTGAAATTTCTGTTCTCTGTTGTGTTGAAAATTAAAGAGATGGAAACCAATCTGGAAGGATTCGTTCGGCAGTTTTGCGCGGAGGTGGAAGGAGAATACGATACCGCTGTAAGGCGGCGGAACGTTAGGGACGATTTTATTCTTCCCAAATTTCCTCATTCGCCACCGCCACTCTATCCATTGGAGGCAGCCATACGAACTGAAGTCGGTAGTTCCACATTCCAAAATTCTACGCTCGCCAATATTGATTACACCGATTTACCTGAGTATTCAGAAGCGGCGGCGCTAGTGCGGACTGCTATTGCGACAGAACAGGCACTTCATCGAATGCAAAATGCGATGTCCACTATCGAATGCGGTAAGTGTCTCTCAAAATAAAGAAACCGCGTTATAAGAAATGAGACTAATGGGAGGACTCTACTAGCAAACAGCAGAGGTAAAAGATCAGTTTTTCAAAATTCAAAAATAAAAAAAGTGGGTAACAATAAAACAAGTATAAATTGTGCACAACTCCTGTGCAGATAAAGCGCATTTTTTTAAACGAAATAGCTTTTGTTTAGACATCACCAATGGATATATTTCTTGCAGACGTCTCAATCGCCCTTTGTGAGTACCCTCTTCCGACAATCCGTTCTTGAAGTATAAGGGAATATACCCGATCACCATAAGAGGTCGAGGAGGAGGGCTATGGTTGGTAGAAATTAATTCCTTTCGTTCAGACCTTTCATTAGAGTAGGTACCATGAAGGATAAAACTAGTTCCACTGCTCCCCCCTCCCCCTCACCACCCCGTACTTTGATAAGAGGACAGAACGCTTAACATAGCACTCGAGGGGTTGACCGCTGGGCAAATGTGGTGTACAGTCCCGAGGAAATGATTAGCAAATGTAGTAAATGATGAGGAAATGTAGCAGATGTTGAAGTAATGTAGCGAATGTTCAGGGAATGTGGGCCATATTCTATAAGAAATTTTTTTTTGGGCCTCAAAAAAAGGCAGCGTATAACCTCAAAAAAAGGCAGTGTATAACCTTCCTTTTTTACCAAAAATCGACTACACCAAAATTTCTCGGGAAAACACTTTTTCTTATTAATTTTGGTGCGTAAAATCCAAAACAATTCGTACTTTTTCGATCAGACTTCTCAATCAAAAGTTATAGACTAGAAACCAATTTCGAAAAAAAATTCAAAGGGCTGTAACTTTGGAACTAGTAGCCCAATCTTGGAACTGTTTGAAATTATGGATTCTACAGGCCACATTCTATAAGAAAATTTTTTTTCCGGGTCGATCTGAGACAATTTTTTTTCGAGCCTCAAAAAAAGGCAGTGTATAACCTTCCTTTTTTACCAAAAATCGACTACACCATAATTTCTCGGGAATACACTTTTTCTTATTAATTTTGGTGCGTAGAATACAAAACAATTCGTACTTTTTCGATTAGACTTCTCAATCAAAAGTTCGTAACTTAAAAACAATAGGGACCTTTCTTATATCCTTAAAACCATGTGTACCAATTTTCAAAGCGATCGCACGTTTCTAAACAAACTATCAGCACACGGACAACCGGATGGTCAAAAATGGATCTGTTCCAAAATCACTAGGATTAATTTCAGAAAGGCGTAGGTACGTATCATGTGCACGACGCTTTGAAAACTGGTACACGTATTCTTAAGGATATAACTGGTATAAGAAAGGTCCTGGTAGGTACCTCCTATATTATAATATAATAATAATAATACGGTTTTACTCCCCTTAAATTTGTATATATCAATAGAAATATAAAAAAAAGCTAACCCCATACAAAGTATAACTTGATCTTTAAGTAGTATTAAGCCTTTCATCTAGTATACTATTTTAAATTTTTAATGTATTTGAGTGACAAGTATTTGAATACTTTTCTAAATATTCGAATACTTTTTATAGTATTCGAATACCTTTGATAGTATTAGAATAGAATACTTTTGAAAGTATTCGAATACTTTTAAAAGTACTTTAGATCCATCAAATTCAAGTACATTAGAATCCTCCTTTTCGTCGATTTCTCGAAAACGGTGTTTTCCAGGCTCCTATTGGTCGAACCGGGTTTAATCTCCTCAGTCAGAGCATTAGTAATTTCAGTTGCCGCTTTTTCTTTTAGAGCCTAAACCGGAACCAAGTGATGCATTTACAGCGGTGCAAAAACAGTTATTAAAGCTGCAGGTGTTGCAGTACCACGAGTTATTTCAGAATTACCAGCGACTTGTGGAGAGCGCCCGACAAGAGCAGTGGCACGTACCTCATTATTACTACTTCCAATGGCCCAGAATTGGTGTTAATGACCAGACTGACATTGCACCCCCTGCACCTCCTACAAATGCATGGGATGATGGCGCACATTCTGATCGACATTGTCAGATGAACGATGACTACCACAGTCAAGAGCAAATCACGAACGTCTCACGTCCTAGTACACCAGAGTGCCTGAGGGCTGAAACTGCAGCACAAAACACCAATCCTGGCGCGTTGCCCTCAAGCGAGCCAACAGAAACTACCACACCCGCCTATTCTACTGTTATTAAAAGAAGTAACTCTCCACCGGCGAAAAGGACGAGACCAAACAATGACCAAAATGCAATCATCGACCTCGACCAGTGGTACATGGAAAAAATGAGACAATCCGACTTTATCGATTTGGACGATTACGACGGTCCCATTCAAGATCGGAAGGATCCTGTTCAGAATTCTGTGAGTATTTTATTTTGATCAAATCGGCGTTTATGGACAATTTGCGTGTTTCAGGGAGACTAAGACCTTTACTTCGGGAAGCGAACAAGACTATGGAGTCCAATGTTATTGCCGCGGTCACATTACCCAGTTCATAGTACAAAATGTTTCAGTACAAAAACTAATTATATGTACCTAAATAACTGTTTTTATATCAAAAGATTTATTTATTAACTGTTACCATGTTTTAAAGATAGTATTTAGCGTTTTAATTTCGTCTCTGCTTAGAAGGCGGCTTTTAGCTTTAAGATACATAGGTACTGCGAAAAATAAGTAAGTATGGAACTAAGTAACTTGTACATTATTACCATGTTCTTTTGTTGTTACTTTCATTAATAAACTTTGCGTACTACAGAACTGGGCAGTATTCGATTTTGTAAATAATTTTTAGTATTCAAATCCTTAAAAGTATTCAAATAGTTTGTAATTAAATACTTCTATGGAAGCAGTATTTGTATTTGTAAATCAAATACTCTCACAAATATTTAGTATTCGAATACTTCGCATAGTATTTGAATACTTAACCTTCCTTTTTTACCAAAAATCGACTACTCCAAAATTTCTCGGGAAAACATTTTTTCTTATTAATTTTGGTGCGTAGAATCCAAAACAATTCGTACTTTTTCGATTAGACTTCTCAATCAAAAGTTATGGACTAGAAACAAATTTCGAAAGAAAATTCAAAGGGCTGTAACTTTTGAACTAGTAGCCCAATCTTGGAACTGTTTGAAATTATGGATTCTACAGGCCACATTCTATAAGACATTTTTTTTCCGGGTCGATCTGAGACAATTTTTTTTCGGGGCTCAAAAAAAGGCAGTGTACCCTTCCTTTTTTACCAAAAATCGACTGCACCAAAATTTCTCGGGAAAACACTTTTTCTTATTAATTTTGGTGCGTAGAATCCAAAACAATTCGTACTTTTTCGATCAGACTTCTCAATCAAAAGTTATAGACTAGAAACCAATTTCGAAAGAAAATTCAAAGGGCTGTAACTTTTGAACTAGTAGCCCAATCTTCGAACTGTTTGAATTTATGGGTTCTACAGGGCACATTCTATAAGAAAAATTTTTTTCCCCGTCGATCTGAGACAATTTTTTTCTTCGGGGCAAAAAAAAGCAGTGTATTACCTTCCTTTTTTACCAAAAATCGACTACACCAAAATTTCTCGGGAAAACACTTTTTCTTATTAATTTTGGTGCGTAGAATCCAAAACAATTCGTACTTTTTCGATCAGACTTCTCAATCAAAAGTTATAGACTAGAAAACAATTTCGAAAGAAAATTCAAATGGCTGTAACTTTTGAACTAGTAGCCCAATCTTCGAACTGTTTGAAATTATGGGTTCTACATGGCACATTCTATAAGAAAAATTTTTTTCCCGGTCAATCTGAAACAATTTTTTCTTCGGGGCTCAAAAAAAGGCAGTGTATAGTCTTCCTTTTTTACCAAAAAGCGACTACACCAAAATTTCTCGGGAAAACACTTTTTCTTATTAATTTTGGGGCGAAGAATCCAAAACAATTCGTACTTTTTCGATTAGACTTCTCAATCAAAAGTTATAGACTAGAAAACAATTTCGAAAGAAAATTCAAATGGCTGTAACTTTTGAACTAGTAGCCCAATCTTCGAACTGTTTGAAATTATGGGTTCTACATGGCACATTCTATAAGAAAAATTTTTTTCCCGGTCAATCTGAAACAATTTTTTCTTCGGGGCTCAAAAAAAGGCAGTGTATAGTCTTCCTTTTTTACCAAAAAGCGACTACACCACCAAAATTTCTCGGGAAAACACTTTTTCTTATTAATTTTGGTGCGTAGAATCCAAAACAATTCGTACTTTTTCGATCAGACTTCTCAATCAAAAGTTATAGACTAGAAACCAATTTCGAAAGAAAATTCAAAGGGCTGTAACTTTTGAACTAGTAGCCCAATCTTGGAACTGTTTGAAATTATGGATTCTACAGGCCACATTCTATAAGAAATTTTTTTTTCCGGGTCGATCTGAGACAATTTTTTTTCGGGGCCTCAAAAAAAGGCAGTGTATAACCTTCCTTTTTTACCAAAAATCGACTACTCCAAAACTTCTCGGTAAAACAAAACTTCTCGGTAAAACACTTTTTCTTATTAATTTTGGTGCGTAGAATCCGAAACAATTCGTACTTTTTCGATTCGACTTCTCAATCAAAAGTTATGGACTAGAAATCAATTTCGAAAGAAAATTCAAAGGATAATTCAGATACGGCAATTAAAATTGGCAGCAGAGTTGTGCGTGTTACAGGCTTTGAAAATTCGGCCAATTAAAAACGTTCATTTAAATTTGCCGGGTTTTTTTTTGGAAGGAGCTTAACTGCATCTGTTGGGTGAACAGATAAGTCTTGATTAAAATTTTAAGAATAAAGTCGAATTAATATGATTTCTGTCAATTACTTTTATTCAATCATTTTGATCAGGATTTGTTATCAAAGCAAGTTATAAAGCTCTAGTTTCCAATAATATTGAATGAATGATAAAGATTGGAGAAGGATTTCATATACAAAAATTTAATTAATTCCCTCGAACCGTTCAAAGTTAACAATCAACAGTTAGTTTACGATATCCGTACTCATTTATTCAATTATCTATACAAGACTATTTTCTTACTAATAAACAAAACCGGTACACAAATCCTTAATGCTCATTTTCATAACCATCGGGCAAAGCGTTGGTGTGCGGGTTATGGAAGAAGGAACGGTTACCGTCACCCCACGGGAATCGTTTTGTTCGAATGTACATATGTTCGTACTTGACGAACGGAGGACGATGATGTTCGGCGTGCTCCTTTTGATGGGCGAGGTAGCAGTTGGCGCCGCACAGGGCGATCGCTGGAAAGGCCAGAAGATAAGTTAGCCTCTTCCAGATTTTGTAGCCACCTGCAAAGATTGTGCGTTATGTAATGAACCTCCCCTGGGAGAATAACGCACCTTCGTGACCTCCTGACACGGCCGAGGGACCCTCAACTTTCCCGTAATTTGCGAGCGTTGTGGTTACGTATCTGCGTATTGCCTGCTGTAAAATTACGGACATTTTCTGCTCGGATATTTTCTGTTTGACTGATCGAATTACGAAATTTAATGGCAGCAAGCTCAATATCTAAACTTTTTTTCATACACGGCGTTTGTCATACACGTATGCGATATGAACTACTATCCGTTTATGCTATCTACTCCCAACAACCACAACCTGCAGGTGAGCATTTAACAATGTTTATCTAATAAACAATGATATTATTACAATGCAGAACAATACAAGAAGTGATCCATTAGAGAGTTAAGACTACAGTCTACATACCCGCGGAAGTCTCCATATACTCTGAAGACTAGCGGAATTCCAAATACTACTAGTATTCATAACATCATAAAAAGCCAAAAATGAAGATTGAGTAACTTAAAAAGTATGGAAAGTCCTGAACACCTAGGTTACCAGAAAGACTTTTAAACTCTGACCATGAATTTATGGAGACGCTAAACTTAAAGAGCCCTGCAATACTGTAATTGGTTCTATAAATGTTCAATGTTCCAAAGATTAAAGGGTCCCTAGAACCTTCGGAGTTTTGACGATCATCGGCTTTCAGAGTTTTTATACGATCTTCAGTTTTCAGCGTTTCCAATCGCAAGAATCTTAATTGAGGAGTATTCTACAGTCTTACAGATTTCCAGAATTTCAAGCTATTCATGAGCAGATGACGATTGGCCTACTGCCTTTAGCGTACTACTCAACTCTTCGAAGTTTTCAAGATCTCTATGCCACGGTGTTTTTGGGGCATTATAATCCTTGAGAGTTTCTAATAGTTTCAAAATTAGCCTTTGAATGCCTGAAGTATACTAATATGGGTCGAAGTTTTACTTGGACCATTGAATAAATATCTCTGACATACGTGAAACCTTTGAACATAGTGAAGATTTTTTAATTTATCTTAGTAGTGTTACCATTGAATTTATAACTAAAATTCAATGGTGTTACATAACGGATACGAAATTCCAACATGGCGGGCTCTGTAGGACATTCCATTTACATGTATGTAAACTACACAGTATGAGAATTGGAATAACAATCAGATGTTATTTGGAATTTTTGATTTTTCATATTTGTCAAACCAAACACATCCATCAGAAATTTTCTTTTATTTAAAGGATAAAAAAGGAATAAAAATAACTACGTTTAACAAAGAAAAATTGAAAATTAATCCTTTCAAAGCTATTAATGGAAATTAGCTGTTTCCAATGGATCGCATACCTGGACAAATCGGATACCTTCTCCTCAACGAAGACGGTGCGGTGATATCATCGTCGGGCGATTTGGAAAACGACGAGAAATCCGCCGATATAATAATGGGCTTGATAACGCTAACGTCGCAAATTGATCCAGATGCACTTCCGAATCATGATGGGTTTAAGAAGCTGTCGATTAAGTACGAAGGGCACTCCTACATCGTCTGCTTGTCAAACCGGAAAATACACGTCGTGAAGAAATTGAACAGTGTCGACGGTGCGGCCATTTCAGTTTAAAGTCGAACTATATTATTATTGTTAACATTACAAAGATGGATGTCTTGATTTATTTTACGAAAATGAGGTATATGCAGATTAGTATTTTGCTTGCGGGAATGTGTTATTCTATGTACCAAATGTATACGATATTGGAGGACTTAGATGTGAATGAGGATTATTTCACTTATATCTTTGTGTTAGTTTAAGTATCTGTTAACTTCCCATGTTTATTAATTAGTGTTTAGGTTAATATGTAATCTCTGCTAAATGGTAATAAAATTTGCTAATTTGAACCACCTTTAATGAAGTTCGAGAGACTACTGCAAGTGCTAGTCCTCTTAACAATAAATATGCCAAGACCAAGTATTGTTAAGCTGGCTCTTCACAAAACAATGAGCAAGCCTTTTTAGATATTGAGAGGGTACTTATTCAATAACCTCTTGAAAATCAATCATAAAAAGTGTACAGAACGACAACCACTTGGCAAGGTGCAGTCGATTTTTGATAAAAAAGGAAGGTTATACACTGCCTTTTTTTGAGCGCCGAAAAAAAAATTGTCTCAGATCGATCCGGAAAAAATTTTCTTATAGAATGTGGCCTGTAGAATCCATAATTTCAAACAGTTCCAAGATTGGGCTACTAGTTCAAAAGTTACAGCCTTTTGAATTTTTTTTTCGAAATTGGTTTCTAGTCTATACTTTTGATTGAGAAGTCTGATCGAAAAAGTACGAATTGTTTTGGATTCTACGCACCAAAATTAATAAGAAAAAGTGTTTTCCCGAGAAATTTTGGTGCAGTCGATTTTTGGTAAAAAAGGAAGGTTATACACTGCCTTTTTTTGAGCCCCGAAAAAAAATTGTCTCAGATCGACCCGGAAAAAAAATTTTCTTATAGAATGTGGCCTGTAGAATCCATAATTTCAAACAGTTCCAAGATTGGGCTACTAGTTCAAAAGTTACAGCCCTTTGAATTTTTTTTCGAAATTGGTTTCTAGTCTATAACTTTTGATTGAGAAGTCCACAGATCTAAGCATACACAGATTGCTAACCTTATGCATTTTTTGGGAAACAAATTTAGGTATACTTAAAGGCGCCCTCTATTGTGGAGCAGTATAAACATGTATCGTTTAAAACTGTAATAAGACGCTTATGGATTTACGCGGTAGATGTCACTGAAGCAAAATTAAAGCGCTAAAGTTTGCACAATTCGAATTCCTTAATATTCGTATTTTTACAGTGATATGATATGATAGGAGGTACGCTGAGCCATAATTGTTTAATTTAACACTGGAGCTACTCATTCGTCGTAAAGGAGTTATTAAAAGCGGGTACCTGTGGTCACAGATACACACGAACATAGGGCAGGTTCTTAAAGAATCGTGAAGGTTTTTTGAAGTGGGCGGAAATTATTTGCAGCTTTAAAGGTCTTGACAGATTGCTAACCGCAAAGGTATACTTAAAAACTATATGTATATCTCTGCCATAATTAACGTTACACTCTTTACCACGCCGATAAGATTTGGAATACGTATGTAGGTATACATATATGATCTCTTGAATACGTGTCTATAAACAAATCACAAAATAAATTCACCGATTACAAATATCAAATGCCAAAAATAACGAATTCGAATTATGCACACTTTACCGCTTTAAATTTTTTGCAGCGACATCTAATGCATAAATCCATAAGCGTCATATTACAGTTTTAAACGGTACATGTTTGTACTGCTCCGCAATAGAGGGCGGTTTTAAGTATACCTAAATCCTTGTTTCCCAAAAAATGCATAAGGTTAGCAATCTGTGTATGTGTAGATCTGTGCTTTTAGTGTTGATTTATTTAAACAGATTTTCAGTTGTAATAGCTATTCAGACCATGGAAAAAGCTAAAAAACCATTTTATAGGTATTGTCTTGTACAAAAGTGCAAAAACACTATTAGAAATATTATAATAATAGAATATTCGCTAAAACGAACTAATAAGTACTGCAGTATAGGAGATGGGTAGACGAAGTAATGCATTAAACGTTATTAATAATTACTACCAAACTATTCATCTCGTCCATTTAAGTGAGTATAATTAACCGTTGCTAATTAGATGAATTGTAGCAAACTGCATCCGATTAAGTAAATCGTAAGTAGCTTCAAAAGATAAGAGCTCTTAATTAATTCGAATTTTAAGACCAATTACAGATTTTTAGAACGTCAGCAGCTCGCACAATTAATTAAAGAAGTTTTAATTTGGATGTAAATAATCAAATTAATTAATAATAATGTTTTATGGTTTTGTCTTACCAAACGGTTCATATGTCTATACATAAATTCATTTTTAGTGTTTTTAGGTTTATTTTCGACACTTTTATGGGGTATCTCAGTAATTGTTAATGCTAACATTGTGCTCTAATAGGGTCAAACTTCAAATTTGAAAATGACTTAGTTAAAAAAGGCACAGAAAAATGTTTTATACAAAAGTTTATTTACAACAATTGTTGACTAATTTTTCGCTTTCAAAATAAAGCCCCAGGATCAGATAAAAAAAGTTATCAGACCTAACCTCATTTTTTTTGTGGAACTGTACATTTTATTCTAAAAAGACAACTGCGATCAAACACCTAGATGTATCATCATTGTATTTGTCTCTCCTTAACTGACTTTTGTACTAATCTCTTTATCACTGTGTGTCTTTACATGATTAACTAAGTTAGTTCGCCACCTGTACAACTTCCCACAAACGTTACATTTATAAATAGGCACCTCACTGTGTGCCTGAAGATGGTTCTTTAATTGGTTCTTAGTCTTGTACGCTTGCTTACATATATCGCACGTGAAATTACGCACGTTACTGTGTGTCAACTGATGACCGATCAAGTTACACTTGTCCGAGAAGGAGCGCCCGCAGTCCTTCACGTCGCATCTGAACGGTTTCTCGCCGGTGTGTGTTCGAACGTGACGTTGCAACTTGCTCGGGGCCGTGAAGCGTTTCCCGCAGTACTTACAGCCGAACAGGTCAGTGTGTACGAGCTTATGGCACGTCAGATCAGACTGCAGCATGAAACCCTTACCGCAAAGGTCGCACGTGAACGGCCTGCTATCGCTGTGCTTCTTGAAGTGTTCGTTCAGGCAGCGCCGTCGTGTGAATATCTTCCCGCACTTAATACACGGGTATGTGTTTTTCGCCAGCTTCGGTTTGGGCACGTGGGCTTTTTCGTATTGCGGCTGTCGTATTTCGTAACGTTCGCACAGTGTCTGTACGGAAATTATTTTCGCTTTCGTTTGCTTTGGCTTGGGAACAACCGCTTCGGTGGGCATAACTGGGCACGAAGTTATTGGCTGAGGTATATCTGTTCGGAAAAACATAAGTGTTAAAAACGTGTTTTGGTTGCTTTCACAACTAATCTTAGGTGACCAAAAATAGGGACATTTAAAAGATTGATTATAGAGCAAATGGCCAAGGATACGTCACAAAAGAGCACCCCCCAAGTGCAAAAACCACTTACTAGCAATATTCGCATAAATTCCGGCATCGGCCGCCACAAGATTTTGCAGGTCGATTTCTACACTATCATCCACAACTTTTGCCACTATTTCATTAAGCAAGTTCTGCTCGACGTCCGGTGCCTCCACGTCAATAAATGGATCAATTTCCTTGCACTGATCCATTAAGCCGAGATGCGTTATACCGTCACTTTTACCGCAGTGTGTCGGTGTAATAATCGTGTAGTCCAAATCCATGACCTGCTGCGAGAATGAATCTCCGCCCGTCGAGCCGCAGAGTAACGTTTCGAATCTGTGATCGGATTCGGTGTACAAAACTACAAAGTTATAAAAGTCGTTCAGTTTGATTAAGCACTCCTGGCAGACTTGACGAGGCTTTAAATCGTCTTGCGATATCTACAAGAAATGAACAACACCGGGCTGGGCAGTCCCTGTTTACTCACATTCAGCGCAAGGCATCTTTTTATTTTTATATCTATGCCTATATCGGCGTCTTTTTGAAATATTGGAATGCAAATATTGCGAATTTGGGCACATATTCGACATAAACTTGTTCCCCAAATCATTTTCAAAAATCAACTTTTGGAGGTTATGTTTACATTGTTTTTGTAGTTGACAGTTGTATCTGGACTGTGGTTCTTGTATCACTATCGGGACTGTACCAGTGGCGTAACATGAGTTTTGTGAATCTCCGACAAATCTTGGGATAAAATTTAAATTATTACGAAATCGCCTCGTTTACAATACCATATTAGGATATATAAGGTGTCCCACTTCCAACGGGGGTTTACTTATATCGAAAACTGTCTTATTGTTAAAGTTTTTTTTCCATAAATAAACAGATTCCTAAGCTTCTTCGGTTTCTTTAGATGAAACAATTTCTATCGATCTTTCAAAGTTTCTTCAGATCTTTGCGACTCTTATAATCCGTTGAACTGAATTCTTGCAAATTTCGTGTTCAAATTGTTACTTTTTTACACTGCAGATTGGTTTTTTTTCAGGCGGTTTGGATTCATTAATTTTTTGTTGATCTATATCGATTAAAGACTTAAATTGTTGATGATGTGTTTACTTTAACTCACAGATTTTATAATTTTATTATTGTTTTGTTTTTTTTTATTTTTTCTTTTCTTTCCTTTGTTGGTAGGTAGTTACTTAGTAGATTTGTGCTTGTTTTCAATCAAAATTGAACTCTGCTAATTGTTTTATTTCGTAGAATCTATGTGTATAAATATATTCTTTATGTCTCTAGGGGTACAGGGGGAAGAACAGGTAACCTACTGGTTTATCTGACCCTGAACCTATTGGTTATGGTGTAGGAACCATTTTTTTTCCTAATCAATAAAATCCATTATTATTATTATTATTATTATTATGGTCGGTGTTTCTTGTGAGAACTCAGGTCTAGCCTGGTTAACTAATCGCACGGATTAAAATCAAGTGACGATTAGTGTCTGTGTCTGTCTGGTGAAGTTATGTAGGGTCCTTAAAAGAAAAAATCACACACGTACATTGGACATCTAGGGATAGTATGTAATTCGTACTTACCAACATACCTATTGATGGGCACAATAGCCAACGCTATCAGGAAAGAGGAAAACAAAACAAAACAAAAAAAAATCATTATAATAATTCCTGTAATTTTATTAAATGGAGTTTATTGTGTAAGTGTTTCTTTGGCTTTGCGTTTGGGTTGAATACAAGTGGGTTGTGATAACGTGGTGTGCTTCTGTGAAGAAGGAGTTTTGTGTTTTTTAATTGTATTTATGGTGTTTCTTTGTTCCTGAAGTCGTATTAATGATAACTCTACGTTGGTCTGCAATGCGTTGTTCTGTCAAGTGTGCTAAATGTGGGTATTGTGTAATGAACGCGTGATATAGTTTACCTCTGTATGCTGTCCTGTCCGTTTCCATCTTCGTGATCTCCAGATACGTACCGAAAATGAAGCGATTCATCCCTTCGTCCCATTTCATACGTCTTTTGGAGGTATCCTTTGCGCTGGTCCCATCCACAAGCGGTTGAGAAGCAGGCACAAAGGTCTCTTCATGGCGGTCCTCTTCAGGTGGTCGTTGTCCTCTTCGTAGTCTTCTTTCGGCTGTAGAGGTTTCGGGTATCCCGACGAGCGGCCGCCTGTTCACCAACTCGTCACTATCGGCTCGCATGCTGCAACGCCCAGCGATAGCTCCAGACGTGCCCTGACGCTCCTCAGGTAGCGGCATTTTTCCGAGGCTTTGTTTAAACTCCATTTTCATAAGAATATGGGGTGACTAGGAACACGTGAAGGCGTCACTCTTCAAGATATTCGCGTAAGCAAATATCCACCTGCGTGTTGTGTATTATTATTATTATTATTATTATTATTATGGTCAGTGTTTCATGTGAGAACTCAGGTCTAGCCTGGTTAACTAATCGCACGGATTAAAATCAAGTAACGATTAGTGTCTGTGTCTGTGTCTGGTGAAGTTATGTAGGGTCCCTAAAAAAAAAAAAATCACACATGGGCACAATAAGCCAACGCTATTAGGAAAGAGGAAAACAAAACAAAACAAAAATCATTATAATAATTCCTGTAATTTTATTAAATGGAGTTTATTGTGTAAGTGTTTCTTTGGCTTTGCGTTTGGGTTGAATACGAGTGGTTGTGATAACGTGGTGTTCTTCGGTGAGGATGGAGTTTTGTGTTTTTTAACTGTGCTAGGACGTGTAACTTTATTGGGTGGACCTGTCTTGTGGTACATGTTGCCTTACTTGTATTTATGGTGTTTCTTTGTTCCTTGAGGTTGTATTTGTGTTATTGCTTGGGTTATTGGTGGAGGTATTACTGTATTTTGTGAGCTAGTAGTGCTGTTAGGTTTTTGCGTTTGGGTTGAGTACGAGTGGGTTGTGATAACGTGGTGTGTTTCTGTGAAGAATGAGTTATGTGTTTTTTAACTGTGCTAGGGCGTGTAACTTTATTGGGTGGACCTGTCTTTGTAGTGCATATTATATTATTATTTATTATTATTCACAGATTCATGGGTTAATTTCAGTTTTTTCAACAAATCTACTCAAGTTCTTCGGATGCTTCCGTTTCTTCCGGTGTTTTCTTACCTTTAAAAGATCCTTCAATTTCTTTGATTTATTTCTTTTTTTTTAATTAAACTCACATTCACAAGATCTTTTGAAATCGGACGACTTTTCAGATTCTTCCAATGACAGCATTCTTCATTTATTGGATATTTAAAATTGTTTAAAATTCGCCGAATTCCTTCATCCCCTCCTTGTTTTCTTTCGATACTTGGGATATTTTGCTCCCATCGTGTTTTCGATTTTGAATTCGTTAATTGTTTCAAACTCTTCTACGTCCATATGGTGTTGGGATCATTTCAGTTCTACGAAATTGCTTTCAGATTTTTCCGGTTCTTTTTTAGAATCTTATAGTTAAGTTCATTTCGACTACTTTGAGCAATAATGAAATAAAAAATTACGTAAGCTTACGTTTGACACTGATCAGGTACTCGTATACTAAACTATAATTAATACTCAATATTGCTATGTGCATTGATCCCAGGTCAAAAAGGGCCATACACAAAACACTTCAAACCTAACTAGTTCCACAATTATAACTTTACCCCGTACAGATCCTCACCCTGATACAGAAAAATGATTTAAACCTGACCTAAAATTTCTGATTCCCGGCAAAATCAAAATCCTTAAATTCTAAACGGGCTGTTACCAAATTTTGACAAACGCCTACAATGAACTTTGGGTGAGAATCAGTAAAATTAATTGTCGTTGAGCATAAGAATTATCTTTCATCGTGAAAAGGGTTTGAATGAACACACAACTTACGTAACATTACACAAACAAATTATATTTTACAAACACAAATAAAAACGACCATGACAGTCATGTTAAAATGGAATTAGACCAGAAATGTCTAAAATCAGAACCAAAAACACACCGTAACATAGAAAAAACTTGGGCTTACTGCTACCTGTCCCCGATTCAGTTGTAGTAAAGGTTATCCTTACGTAGCCCTCATCAAAACTTGAAATTGCCATCCATCGCTCCCAACCAAATGCTTGCGTAGACACCTTCTTCGAGCACGGCAAAAACGAAAACCAAAACAACCTTCACACTGACAACGAATCCAAACGCGATATATAATACGTTTTTTTATTTGTTAGTTTTAAAATGTAATCGGTCCCGAACTGGGCAACTTAACTCCTTTTCCTCTTTTAAATAAAAGCACGCGAAACAAGATGACAAACTTCTGTAAGAGCTGTAACTTGGGCTCAATATTTTATAAAGGACAGCAGTTCACGTTTTCAAATGAACGGCACTCCGGCATCGAGCTTGGCAAAAAGCGTCCTCTTTCCACGTCTCTTGTATTTAAACCAAATCCCACCTAGATTTCTTAAAACTTTAACAGCCAATAAATACTGCATAGAAACGAAACTAACCAATACGAAGAAGAGTCAAAACGTCATGTCTACACTAATTCTGAATTTTCCTTATCTAATGCAATATTCCTCTAACGGTAAAACAAAGCACTATTGTAATAAGAAATCTATAGCAGCGAAAATAAAGAACTAAGTTATAGAATAATTTACTGCAAGAATAATTAGCATCTTTCTACTAGTGGGGGTTACACAAATATACCTAGATCGGGTAAAAATTTAAATAATAGCACAAATCAACGGAATATAAATCAGGAATATCAATCGGTAAAAAAATAACGTTACAAAATGTCCAATATGATATGTTACTCGTACACTAAAACCGTAATTAATACTTCATAAGAATGAATAATTCAATTTACGTTAACTAAACAAAAGCAAAATTTTGCTCGACAACGAATCGTCCGAACAAATCGGTGAAATGTACAAATCCTTTGTAATGACACAAGTAACGTAAATAAAAATGATAGATCCTCCAAGATGCAGTACTCCTAAACGGGAGTGAAAGTTTTGGGACATGCAAAAAACAACTAAAAACTTGAAAATCTGAAAAACGTGTTAACAGCACTTTGTCAGCAAGTATATCTTAAAGGAATTCAGTTTTGGCTATTGACAGCTCATGTCATTAAATATTAGAATTACTGTATTTATATCAACGCAACTTACTAAAACGTCACACAGCTTCTGTAATTATGGGGGATTTAATAAAGGCATGGATCGTAGAAAGAATTGGGGTAGTGATGAACATGGACCCGCAGGTCTTCTCTACGGAAGTAATGGACGGTACAATAATCGCACAAATTTTATTAAACTACAACATCATCACCGAAACGCAAGCGTGGCAAATAGTCCCGACTAATAATCCGGTTATCGCCTCCAAAAACTTCAAGCTCATCCAACTGTGGCTGCACAGTATCGGCATACAACGCGCCACTGAAGAACTAGATGAAATCTGCACGGGAAAATCTATGGTGGCAATTAAACTTTTCTATGAGCTCTATTTGAAATTACACGACAAAAACGGTCTCTTCTTCGCAATGAGGAAAAGACAAAAAGAGAGGCTGCACCCGACAAACACCCGGTTTGACGTTTGCACGGTTAACGAAACCGTTAACGGAAATCTCACCGAATTCGTCGACAACGACCTATGCCAGCAGTTAGTGGTGCACCAAGGTGTTATTAAATGGAACCAAGATCGTTACAAAGCCTTACGGGAGAAATACAGAGAGACGCGCGAACGTTATTCGAAGTATCTGGATAAGAAGTGCGGTCTCAAAGAGGTCAATCAGTTTGGCAACGCGGAAATGGTTGTGCCACCCTCCAAACCCTTGGAGCGATTGGATTCGAGCTGCTCGAGCGACTACGACCTTACTTTCGATGATCTAGTCAAAGAGCGACAGGAGGCATCTTTAAAGCCCGTATTTGAGGAGGATCCGAAAGCGGCCGCCGAAATATTGAAGAACATTAAGCGGAGGAAACGTCGCGAGATGCACGAAAATGAAGAACGTGTAAAACAGCAGAAATTACTGCTAATGGAGCTGTGGGGTAAGCTCCTCGCGCAACAGGAGAAGGAACTGGAGGAATGCGTCTCGAAGAAAATGCTGAAGCAGTCCACTTTCGAAAAGCAAATGACCACGAAACTGTTCGAAGTTCGACAGCAGGCCAAACACATCTTGGCGAATCGCAGATTTATGGACGACTGCGCGTTAAAAAAGCGCGAGGATGAGTTCTTGGAGCATGTGTTTTTACGGGACAAGGGCGTTGGTAACCAGAAAGGTAATTACTATGTCGAACGTGGAAGAATGTTGGAGTTGCACAGGCGACTGTACGCACAACGGATGTGCCTGTACGTTTCTAGGCGTGATGACATGTGCAAACGCATTGTTGAAGATTTTGTATCGCTGGCGGTAATATCGGCCGGATATAAGGAGAAGTATCAAGCTGATCCCGATGAGGCTATAAGGAGGGAGTGGGGGAATTTGTTTATTAAAGCAAAATCTCTAGTTGCCTATCTAGCTGACGTGACCGAGCTTGTGGTCCCCGAACCCGTTTCGAGCGACTTGGAGGAAATTTACTGTTTCGAAATGGATAGACAGGAAGCGTTAGACGAGCGAGAGTTTGAAAGTTATATGAACTTCGAAAAGCCTTGGACCGACTTTCTCGCACAGTGGGAGGAGCACTCGCCCCAAATCGAGCACGGAATGAACGTCTTGAGTCACAATGTGAATCGAGTCTTAAAAACCAAAAACCCCGAGGCGCAATCGCCCCATCCGTTACCGGCGGTTGACGTCGCAGTTTGCATCAACGGTTTTCCCGATTGCAACGTCCTCCCAGTGTTACAAAAGCTATTAAACAAACGCAAAATTCGTGTGATAGAGATGCAGGATGCTGTCAACACGTGCCTGGAGGCGTACAAGTTGGAAAGAGGCACGGAAAGTCTTGAAAACGCGCTGAATGATCATACTGAAGCGGCGCTTGCGCATTTCAACAGATCCGGCCCGGTTAAGCTCACCGTTCCTGTTAAGGGGAACAAGCAAAGCGCGACGTCTGGGCTCAAACTTGAAACAAAAAGCACCCAGACACTGGTTAACTACCCTTTGGTGGACTTAAGTGTTATGGCCGAGTATGGCAAGTTAGCCTACGAGGCATTGAATGTTGGCGATGAGTTGACCGACAATCTTCTCGTCGTAATGCTCGTGGAATATATAAGGAGCCTGAATGACTTATCAGGATGGGCGCTGATAAACTATCCCAACACGTTGACTCAGGCAGCTGTGTTGGAACAGGCCTTAACAGGCGGGTTCGTGCCAGACGTAAGCTGCGATTCGGGTAGCATCGGTGATATCGCCGATTTAATCGTTAAAGCCTCAGAAATGGGCCTTAAAGGCAGAAACGTGGAGTTGCAGCAATCGAAACTGCTACCAGATTTAAGTTCATCGCATTCCCTATACCGCACTTATCTCACCGCTTTCATAACCGTTAAATCTGAAAATTGCGTCGGCACAGACTGTAGTGAACCACAGACGCCCTTAGAGGAGTTCTACCTGGAGCAGGGTTGCCACTATGAGCTTTTGTACGAAAATTTGGAACTGAACATTATTAAGCGACTGGCCAAAATGATTATTGGCGAATATTCCATTCCGCCGAAAACTTCGCAAGAATTATTCGGTGACACCCTGAACTACGTAGAGGCGAACCTAAGCGAATCGGCAAAATTCGTGGGGCAGGAGATAAAGCATCAAAAAGAAACAGTTCCATCGGAAATATTCGTAGCATCGACGGGTGTACCCGGAGATCCTTCGTGGCAGTACTTCGATATCGCGTTTCCGGAAGCGCTT